AGTAGGAAAAAAGAAGGGGATACAGAACGACAGCTCGGCTTTAACGGATTAATTCATTCCGTGGTTACCTGACTGCGATGCTTTATCCCGCGAAATTACACGTGGCGCTTCCACTCTTCCGCTCGAAGAAGTAAATTTCGCGTAGACCCGAGTTTAATTGACAGCAATTAAGCTTTGAATCCCGCCTTCCTTTCCCTTCCTTTCGATTAATTAACCATTTGATCTTGTGCAATTTTTTGCAGAACGGTTGGTGAAAATACGTATTACTTTTACAAATTAAAATTTGATAAAATTCGCAAAAATATCAGTTGTTGAGATAATTCGTTCAATTATTAACATGGTCGACAGAGGAACAGAATTTTCAAAATACTGCCAATACTGTAAGATTTTCTCCGAATCTTCCCTCTTTACAAATCAAAATCAATGAGAAATAGCAAATTTTCCTCCTCCCCTCTATTCTCTCCCATTTCCTTCTCAACGAAGCGTTAAATTAAAATGTCCTCGAACGCGGAAGAAAAAGAAAAGGAGAAAAAAAAAAGAAGAAAACGGAGAAAGTGGAAAGTTGAACCGAGGAACGGAGGAATGATGGATCGTGGTTAACGTCCCGAAAGCGACTCGCTTTATATTTACTTTTATGCGTGCGTAAACGCCGTTTCCGCGGCGAGGCCGATTTTTATTGGATCGCTCCAGGTTGGAACCGATCAAGATGGAAAAGCTAAGAAGCCGTTTCGCGTATATCCTCGTTATGCTCGCCTCGAGGGCCAGGGATCGTAAAAGGCCAAACAGGGAGATTTCCCTTTTGCGGACGCGAGACGTTTTCCTCGTGCGAGCGATGCGTGACGAAACTGCTTCTTGCAAAACGCTCTCCTCATCCAATCTTCTTCCTTTTCTTCTTCGAGATCGAGAGAGTTTCTTTATTTCCTCTGACGAGTATTTTTCCTTTTTTTCAGTCTGTGGATACGATCGTCGATCGTTGTTCCTTCTCGAGATCCTTTCCGAGTCAATTTATCGACGGGTGATGATTTTTAAAACGAACGAGCGTATAATTGAATCTGCGATTTTAATTTTAAATTTTGTTAGAGGCGATGCAAATTTTTTTTCTTTTGGTTTTTATAGGTGGATGTTTTTCTTTTTCGATGATTTTATGGATAATCGGTTATTGTTGTCGTTTCCTCTCTCGAAATTTTGAATATGCAAGTTTTCAAGTGATCTGTTTCCATTGATTTCTGAAAGGAACGGATGTAATTGGATTTTAATTTTAAATTTTTTTTTTTTTTTGGTAGACATGATGCAAATTTTTTTTCAAAAGTAGATGACGAAACGGCGGACCTTTTTCAATGATTGTAGTCGTGAACATCGTCGGTTGTTGTATTTCTTTTTGTAATTCTTTTTGTAATTTCTTTTCTTCACGAATGAATAGTCGAATGATCTGTTTGGATGATTTTTAAAGCGAACAATGATTTTAATTTTAAATTTTGTAAATTAGGATGACGAGGATGTTTTTCTCTTTCATTGATTTCATTGATTAACGTCTTGTAGATTGTTCTTTTTTTTTTTTTTCAATTCATTTATGAATTATCGGCGATGATTTTTAAAATCATGGAGAATATAAATGGATTACGATTTAATCTAGCTGGAATTTTAAAATTTAGTTAGAAAGAAAGCAAACGTCTCTGTTTCTGTAACACGTAAACAGAATGGCGAGGAAAAGAGGGTGAAGCGTTGCAAAAAATTAATTAATGTAAATTATGAGTATATTAATTATATCTTGTAACGTTTCAAAGTCACGAGTGAAAATATCGAAATTTCTCGGGAGAATAAAAATTCCATCGAAATGCCATAAATTCAGCCGAGGCCGAATCGAATTCCAAAGTGAAATAAAATGGAGCGGATCGAAAGTTAAAATTATAGCGGCGGGTGGGCGAGCGTGATTAGCCGGAAGTGGCTATTTTTCTTCATCCAACGCCTCTTTCGCAGTCCAGAGCTGAGAAAGGCTTGGGCCGGGTTGGAAGGATTTTCAGTCGATTTCGATCCGAGCGTAAACCGGATTTACAGACGGTCGTCGATATCGAAAGTAAAAGGCGACTCGCCTTGTGCCTGTTCTTATGTGCCTCGTGCCTCGACCAGTTTATCATGGTCAATGATTGCGAAAGTGGAGTTCGATTTCGTGCATGCCGCTGCCATTGGCGTCCACGCCTGTTCATTATTCTTTATTCACCGTTTCGAAACGTGGTTTTCGCGACTGTGGCTCCGCTGTTGCGAAACACCTTCTCGAATGTGACACCTGTTTCGTATTATTCGCGCTGAGTTGTGCACAAAAGCGCAGGTAAATCGATGATTTATCCGAATGTCGATCGAATGAACGAATAATTCTTGAGTAACTGTATTATTTTTTCTTATTTTCTTATTTTTTCTTTTTTTTTTTTTGCAATCACGTATCGTTGGATGGCTCCGATATTTTTAGAAAATTTATAACGGATGGATTTCACTGTACGTAGAATGAGAAATTTCTATAAGATATTCATCAGAGCATTAATGAAAATATTACTGTAATACTATTTTTTATAATACGAAAAAAAAGAGAAACTGTAGAAAATTAGAAAACAAATTTTCTTTATCGATGTAAGGTACGTGTAACGATCCGTCTAATAATTCGATCGATTAGTATTCTTTTTTTTTCAATCACGTGAAGAAATTTGTCCTTACGCGTTATATTTGCATTTCTTAATTTTTGTTCAGACGTCTGTCAATTTTATCGCCACTATCGTTGATAAATTGAACGTATCTATCTGAGTACGTCTTTGATGATCGTTTAACAATCCAATCTCGTCATCTTGCGTGCAAAATGAAACGAAGCCATCGCGATTAACTACAATTATTATTAGGTTTATTCGATCAACATTATAAGATCATTATAAAAGCTGTTTTACATTCTAAGAACAAACTTACCCGGCTGAGTTTTAATAAATTTACAGGGAAGTTTCAACTCGTTATTCGAAGTTCGTTTTTTTCTTCTTCAGATACTCTGAAAATTTGAGAAGAGTGGCTGACTTTAATTTGCAAGAATTAAAAGTTCACCTTTCAACTCGAAATGGAAATTCGATAATGAATGTTTCATTAATTTTGCGCCTCATCGGCGCGAAACAATATTTTGATTAAGCGGGAGGAAGATGAATATTTCATGGAAACTTTTTCAGGGACACGAGCTTGAACACGCTGGCGGAAGTGCCCTCGAGATACCACTTCGCGGCGCATATGGGTCAACTGATATCCGGCGTGGAAGGTCAAGGATGCCATAATTTCTACCCCACCTGTCCCCTGCCTGGATCCAGCGTTCTCAACATGATGAAGAAGATTCGATTGCGCTGACGCGACGGAATCCCGTCGAAATGAAAGACAGACAGACAGAGAGAGAGAGAGAGAGAGAGAGAGAGAGAGAGAGAGAAGGAAGAACGACGACA